AATGTTTCTGTGTCCATCTGCCACCCATTTTTGATATCAAAGTGTTTGTGTTTTCAGCGCAAATATGATTCCTTGACTAGCCTTACGTCACTAAAATGTTTAATTCGAACGTTTTGCTAAAGTTAATCTAGGCGGGAGCATAAGTTCAAATGAATGAAATGCTTTCACAGCTTAATGAACGCAATTTCTTTAGTTGAAATGTTAAAGGGGCATCACGCTGAAGTAACTTTATTTTTTGTCTTTTTTTTTCAAATACTACATAAACATATCAAGTGAGACTCCTTATGGAAAATAACGATCGGATTTGGCTGAAATAGATTCATGAAAATGATTAAATCTAAGATAATCATCGGTATTTCTACCTGTCTGACCAACGTTTTGTTCAGGGATTTCCCTCTCCTAGCGCATGCGCATTGCACACCATTTCTTTGTAAACAAAATGACTGGCCGTGTGAAGTGAGCCAAAGAAAAGTGTTGTACCGTGTCAGCTACGAAGCGAAAAGTTGCCAAATGGTCAAAAGATAGTGCAAGGAGTACGTTACGGAATCATTGTTATAGGTTGGAAGTATTCAAAGGAGAAAATAACTGCCGTAGCAGTTAGTACGGTGCATGTATTCCTCCAGATAGCCGGTTAAGCTGAAATGGAATCGACAGAAATGCTAGCGCTGTTTATGTTATGAATAAATATCTAAAACTATTAACCTCGCTAGTATCTTTGTCTGAGTTTGAACACAGATGAACTTAGTTTAATGTGTCAATAGGCATGGAGAGACGTGCGCTTTTAGATTTACATAATTTATAATATTACCGGGTTCAGTAAAATGGTATGATTTAATTGTATTGCTGAATTAAACGATTTTTTGTTTGTTTTTACATACAAGATTTAAATTAGTACTAATATGAATACCCGGCTTCCTCTGGCACAACGACGCAATATATAAAAAAAATCTCTCGTCGTCAGAAACCTACATTACTAAGTGTTAGCGTATGGAGACAGTGAAAGTGGGAAAGAAAGTATACATATTTTTTTATGCATGATGTAGAAACAAAATTGGCCAAAGATATTGAATTGTACAATGTGATAAAAAAAATCACAAACGTTTCTCTTTTTCATACGCGTGTAGTTTGTCATTGCATATATGCACTTTTTACAGAAAGGTTTGTCCCATGGTTGAAGAAAGGTGTTTAGCCCCGTACAGATGTCACAATCCGGTACTAAATTCAATATATATTTATATATATATATACTTTATGTTCATGCCTATTAATATTGTTGACATTTAATTGTAAATGTATGATGGGAGAAGGCTGTGATAAATTGTAAAAACGTTTGCCCCATCCCTTGTTCAATTTTATTCGAAACAAATAAAATAAAAGTGTGCAATTAACTTCTGATGATGAATAACTACTGTTCAATAAGTTTTAATACGGACTTAGAAATCATATTACTTGGTTTCATAGTGCGGTAAGAAGTTGCAGTTGCCTGACGCCCCTCTCTGGGGGCCCCTTTGGAAACCGTTTCATCTCGCCCAGACCGCTCGTGTTTACTGCATGCCTAGTCAGGTGACGTTATCGGCGCTATTTTTAGCAGGGCTTTCCCGAACAATTCAAGTGGTCAAACTGGACATTTGGAACGGACTGTGAATATTGGGATAGCGAGGTAACATAAGGGGAGGTGCATACAATACATACATTCATTAAAAAAAATATGTCTCTTCACGGGATGTCCCTTTAATAGAAAAACTTGCTCCAAATGACTTCAAATGTCATTGGGCCGTATAACAATACAAATAAGAAACATAACAAAACAGTTTGTTGTTTTTGTATATTTTATGTCACAGAAGCACTCAAAATTGCGACATGAATCGTCCAAGTTATGGACCAACAAATGTTCAATATGCTAACCTTCATAAGCTGCTGAAATCACACAACTGCTAAACATAAGACATGCCAGGATTGTAGTACATATGGGACAGTGGAATGCCGTCAGTCCGGACACTTTTGTTAATAATATTTTCCCAAGCGAAACTGGATTACGTCATAATCTCCTTTGAACCAATATCCAGGCCTAGTCGTGATCTTATTAAGCTGACTATGTACCCTACGTCACGTGGAAAAGACCAATCCGCTGCCTTTTGTCAATAATATTATAATAATCATGCATATATATTTTTTATTGTTTCAAATTGCACTAAACTAGTCAGTTTGACATCCAATATAATTCTCATCTTTGTTATCGCAAAGATGGTGTATTTGTTACATTGCACTTCGATATTGATATCTGTAAGCTTTCAGGAACGTTTTTAATTAATGCCCAAATCATTACGTTGTAAGTAAGCGCTTTTATGAAAACAACCGCTGGTATACGACATGTGGACTTAGCTGTGGCACTTAAGATATGTACTTGAATTGTAGTTGAATTCATTTTAAACATCTGTATTTCCGCTTAACGTCACAAACCATCTCCTATGCTATATTCAGCATTTATTGATCCACGAACTTGTAATATATTTCACAAATCATCTGTCACACACACAGACATACATATTGGGGCTAATTCTCCAAGCCTAACTCATGGCTTATTTCTGTTACAATTTTCAGCGATCGCTTTTTTTAAATGTCTACTTCCCTCCCTTTTTCGCTCTCCCTATTTCTCTCACATTCTCTCCCTTTCCTCTCTATGTTTGGGTACATATATCGTTATAAGGAAAAGAAATGGTATTTGTTATTTCATAGGCTGCTAGCGTTGGAGAACTAGCCCGGTTTGTGTTTGTTTCACTTATTTACAATTATATAATTTGTACATTTACATAATTCCAAGCACGACTTCCCATGAGCAAATGACAAGAATAAAATGACAGACAATTATATAATTATAATACTTATTCAGCGCCATCTTAACGGTTATCAGTTGCCTTTAATTATAGGATGAGTCCATACATAATTTCAAAATTCGAAACACGCATGGTGGTTTTTTTTGTATTTTGTTTGAGAAGTGGTTGGTATCACTTACAAACAATTCGATTTCAATGGGAATGATACACAGGAATGGGTTTTTTCAAAAACATTACTAATCCGTCAAATATGTCTAAAAGTCATGTACACGTTAAAAACAGGGTTTTTTTCATAGAGACACATCCTATAATCAAAGACTGGAATAGTGAAGATAGACACGAACAAATTAATACACACATATATTGTATATATATCTATATATAAACTGTATATATGTCCAGGCGTACGCCGGTTATAGAGGCAGCCATCCGGGTCATCACCGACCCTACCGGAAATTATAATACTCCAAAGCCCACCCACATCGACCCACTACATTCATATCCAAGAAAACAAACGTTTTGAACATGCTGATAGTCAAGAAAGGGTCAAGGCTTTCCAAAGCTAAAAATCAGTTTATTACACAAATCCATAGGTAGACCCCAACAATGGAAATCGTGTTCCTTTCGCCTAGTCGAATTTCTACTTCTGGCGTTTTAAAACAATTCATCAAGTATTGAATTTACTCACGTATTCTAACCGGTACAGATAAATATACGTCAACATACTTCGCTTTATTTCGCCCAGTATTACATTCACCTTCAAGTTCGAACCGGTGAAAATTTCACCCCTTTACTGAACTGTCCTTCCAGTATATAACTCTAACCACAGTCCTCCCTTTATCAACCCTCCCCAGCCTTTAACAGACTTCCAAATATTCTCCATATCCGATATCATGACCAGTCCAGCCAACAACACAAAAGCGAGTATTATTCTATGAAGGATCCGGCCCGAATACCAGTCTAACCACTATACTAACCCAAAAACTCCCTCTTTACGGAGCGCTAATCAAGAAACATGAACCATGACCAGCCACAGGACATGGGCGCAAGTCCAGGAAAGAGTATCACATTGCTGCCTTCGTGTGTATCCCTCCTTGACCTGAGCAGCGAAGGAAACACCAACTTTGTATATTAAAACTTATCATGAAAGCTGGTTTATCATAACAATATAATAATATAAGTCATATAACTGAAAATAGTATTATACATATAGTATAAACATAAATCGAGTATACATTAGACTTGGGCCTCGCATAAGTTTATATACAGATCACTGTCGTACGATACAGTGGCTGTCGACTCCTTCTCCTGGCTCGGAGGATCAAACAACTCTATCCGGACGTTGTCCATGCTCTTTTTGAACTTCCTGTGTTCGCTGCGGTGCTCGCCACGGTGTTCACCCGAGCGAGATGAAGTGCTCTCAGACTGGGCGGACTTGCCCGTGTGATTTGAATGTGTACTGTCGCTTGGGTACTCAGACGTGTGCGCACAGCTGTGGGAGAGCTCAGACCGCTCAAACCTGTCCCGTCTGTGGGAGTGGGACGATGAACTGTCCGTTGCTTTGGAGGACAGCGAGGCGTGTGACACTTCGTTGAAGTCGAGACGTAGACCTTCCTTCTCCTCTGTGATCTTAGATAACAGAATCTGTCTGGGCCTCTCCTTCTCCTTGTGATGAATGAAACACTGCATCTGAATGCGCCCTGTGTCCTTGCCGTTCTGTTTAAGACGAGAAGGTGACACAATGAATTGCACGTTATTAAGAGGCTTTGTAATCATAGCTTCAGTGAGGTCAAGGTCGAGCAGAGCCGCCGCCTCGGCACTGTTCTTACTACAGGTGTTTTTCGCAATTTGGATAATTTCCTGGTTTGATTTATGTTTTTCAAACATTGGCATGAGAAAGAAGAGCAGTCCACCCAGCAGCATTGACACGCCGGAGAAAATGTAGCCAGCCTTTGGTGTGTCGTATGTTCTATTGAGGTATACTGAAACAGGTAAAGTCAGAAACAGCCTCTTAAATGGCCACTTTAAGCAATGGTGGTTTTAACCTATGAGTACAAATATTCATTAAGATATATGTTGATACTGTGTAATGGTTTTGTTTGGATCGTCGCGTTTTCTATCAATTGGTAGTACCTATGGACTCATCAAGATAATCTCAGTACAACAATTTCTGCCAGCGTTCTTTAAGTTACACCGGAAACGGAAGTCAGTATTAATTTTTATTGCGACAAGATGGCGGCGCTATAAAAGGAAAGTTACGCTGATGTCATATAACATCCGAGAAAGACCTCTGGGGGAATCACAACACACAAAAAAGCTATACTGAATTCAAGGTATTTAATCAGTTATCAACATGTAAATCATTTTCTATTAACGAAGACAGAAAATGTATATGGAACAGAAACATTATATTTCTTTATCCGTAAATGAAAGGAAATGTTAAACTGTGTTAACCACTTAATTTTAGAATTTTGCACACCACACCACATCACGTTGAAATTACATCAGAAACATACAGCGAATGTACATATGACTGTATACACCTTGTTTAAAACAAATCCTATCTTATAAGTTTATAGAATTCCACCATTTTCGCTAAATTTTGATGAAATCAACACAATGATATGATAATAATAATGTTAGTATTTGAAAATGATTACGTTACATTTCTATCACGTAATGTTATCATAATCTCGTAAAAGCTGGATATAAGTATGGAAAGTCGTGAGGAACCCTGGGAGATATTGTCAGTCCATGCGTGTTTTTGTTTTCTTCATTTAGTATTATAATACACCGACTACTATCAGACGTATACCTACATGAGACGTTTACCTATGTTTACAGCGACCTTCACCCCATACTTACACGTGACTTTTACCTATGTGTACAGCGACCTTCACCCCATACTTACACGAGACGTTTAAGCTTCATCCCATTATTATCTTTACCCCATACTTACACGAGCTGATTACCTGTACCCCATACTTACACGAGATTGACGACCTGTAAACCATACTTTCACGAGATTGACGACCTCTACCTCATACTTACACGAGATTGATTACCTCTACCCCATACTTACACGATATTTACGACCTGTACACTATACCTACACGAGATTGACGACCTCTACCTCATACTTACAAGAGATTGATTACCTCTTCCCCATACTTACACGATATTGACGACCTGAACACTATACCTACACGAGATTGACGACCGTTACCTCGTACTTACATGATATTGACGACCTCTATCTCAGACTTAAGAGATATTGATTACCTCTACCCCATACTTACACGATATTTACGACCTGTACACTAAACCTACACGAGAGTGACGACCTCTACCCCATACTGACACGAGATTGATTACCTCTACCCCATACTTACACGAGATTGACGACCTCTACACTAAACCTACACGAGAGTGACGACCTCTACCCCATACTTACAATAGATTGACGACCTCTACCCCATACTTACATGAGATTGACGACCTGTACACTATACCTACACGAGATTGATTACCCCAACCCCATACTTACACGAGATTGACGATCTGTACCCTATACCTACACGAGATTGATTACCATAACCCCAAACTTACACGAGATTGATTACCTAAACCCCATACTTACATGAGATTGATTACCTCAACCCAATACTTACACGAGATTGACGATCTGTACACTATACCTACACGAGATTGATTACCTCAACCCCATACTTACACGAGATTGACGACCTCTACCCCATACTTACAATAGATTGACGACCTCTACCCCATACTTACACGATATTGACGACCTCTACCCCATACCTACACGAGAGTGACGACCTCTTCCCCATACTTACAATAGATTGACGACCTCTACCCCATACTTATAATAGATTGACGACCTCTACCCCATACTTACATGAGATTGACGACCTGTACACTATACCTACACGAGATTGATTACCTCAACCCCATACTTACACGAGATTGACGATCTGTACACTATACTTACACGAGATTGATTACCTCAACCCCATACTTACACGAGATTGATAACTTTTACCCATACTTACACGGGATTGATAACTTTTACCCATACTTACACGAGATTGATAACTTTTATCCATACTTACACGAGATAGATAACTTTTACCCATACTTACACGAGATTGATAACTTTTACCCATACTTACACGAGATTGATAACTTTTACCCATACTTACACGAGATTGATAACTTGTATCCATACTTACACGAGATTGATAACTTTTACCCATACTTACCCGAGATTGATAACTTTTACCCATACATACACGAGATTGGCGATCTGTACACCATACCTACACGAGATTGATTACTTTTACCCATACTTAAACGAGATTGATAACTTTTACCCGTACATACACGAGATTGGCGATCTGGACACCATACTTACACGAGATTGATTACTTTTACCCATACTTACACGAGATTGATAACTTTTACCCATACTTACACGAGATTGATGACCTTTACCCCATACTTACACGAGATTGATAACTTTTACCCCATACTTACACCAGATTGATGACCTTTACCCATACTTACACGAGATTGATAACTTTCACCCATACTTACACGAGATTGATGACCTTTACCCATACTTACACGAGATTGGCGATCCTATCAACACCGGGATGCACTGTCCTACAGCAACAAAGCCCCACGCCCTCTCCATGATTTTGAGCTTGACCAGTTCGTACGTGTACATTTTGAGGGTATAGTGGTAGCCTCCACAGAAGATGCCAAACGCCCATGCGTACAATGCGAACGCGTTAAAGTCTTTGGCCATGATGAGGAGGAGAGTGAGCAACCCACACGCTATACACGAGGACTGGCACAGATGGTGGGTGGAAATAACGCACTCTTTACTCTCGCGGATGACGATGTATCCGTGAATAAGACAGCCGAGTAGGAATCCCAGACCCAGGTAGACATTATACAGCAGTAACATATCCTTGTCGTAATGCTCTGACCCCGTCTTTATCTGAAAGGTCAAAAGAATATATTTATGAATTGTCCTGTCATCAGATCACACATCAAGCCTCAGTTTAGTGCCTTTTAGATTGTTTCATTAGCCGGTGCGCTTAGCGCTAACGTTTTGATAGGTTTTCAATTTCCACTGATAATTTCTTAATAAATTTTCTTAAATAGAATGGCAAACCCAAATATGTGACTGACAAAATTGCGATGTCATTACATTTGCTTTACCTATTAAATCAGAAACGAGAGGCAAAAACGGGCTGTATCTCGCACTTACTGTTCAACCATGTTGACAATTACATCTTATATATATATGTGACCTTCAAAATGGGTCAAGGTCATTTTTTAAAATTCGAACTTAAAATAATCACTCTACAACTTATGGATATAGTTGGAAGATTTTAACATGTTTTGTTTCCATGTGACCTTCCGAATTGGTCAACGTCATTTATATGAACCATATTCATACTCCATCACATTAGGAAGCTTAAGACCAGAAATCCTTCTATAATACCTCCTGGATCTATTTTTACACATTCGACCCCTGTGACATTGAAAGGGAGACAATGTCGTTTAGTTAAACACAAATTTAATAGCATTATAATTTAACAAGCTATAGTTATAAATACTGTTACGCAATGCCCTACTGATCTATGGACAACGTCGGTATAAGGTTTTAACATAATCTATAACGCATTGAAATTCTTGATTCCGGTAACCTTGAAAGTGCATCAAGGTCATTCAATTTAACAAACATAATAACCAATCATTTGATAGTTCATATCATTTCAACGATAAAAACAGCATCATAATAGTATGTCATTAGAAATAAGATTGTATATTTTGGAAAGCTTATTACCATGACGACGAAAGGAACGTAAATTCCCAAGCCTACAATTCCAGTGATACACATTAGGGCCTGGAGGGAACGCATTCTAAGTGCAGAAAAGTCAAAGTAGGCCACGGTGTTGTCGTCCTCCTGATCCCTACGACCCTTTTTCTGTGACTTAATGTGCACAATAACCTTCCGCCGGGGATGATACATGGACGCGGAGCGATACAGGGATCCTGCGAAGATCGTCAGCACAAGGATACCAGCTAGGCACTGAAGGGCTACCCGCCATTCTAATTTTCTGGAAAAAATGTCATGGAACTTATATTTACATAAACCATTTTTAACATCTTTACATCGAATTTAATGAGATGAAGCTATTAGAAGTTTATCAGTATGTTTCTAATTCCTATCAGACTTATTTTTGTTCCATATAATCAATTACACAGTATTAAAACTAAGATGGCTACGGAGAGAAATATGAGACAAGAGATAGAAGGTCGAAGATTACGGAATTATTTTACGTATGATTTTACATGACGTTTATTTCAATAAAGCCAGATACATCTAAAAGAATGTGTGTTTTCTGATGCCCTGATGTCGTTAAGGGAGTTTTGTAGTGTTTAACTGACTACCGAGGATCACTATCAACCTAGCCTACCGGTTATCTGCTATACCGTGTATAACGACTACTCCAATTGAATTACAAAAAAATAAAATAGGACCCTTATGTCTCCAACACACTGGGAGGATAGTGGCACAACTGGAAAAAGACCCTTATGTCTCCAACACACTGAGAGGATAGTGGCACAACTGGAATAGGACCCTTATGTCTCCAACACACTGAGAGGATAGTGGCACAACTGGAAAGGACCCTTATGTCTCTAACACACTGAGAGGATAGTGGCACAACTGGAATAGGACCCTTATGTCTCCAACACACTGAGAGGATAGTGGCACAATTGGAATACTGGTGACTGGATTGGTCACGTTGTGTATGTATTATATACGTATGTATGATATACGTGTGCATAACAACACAGCCTTTAGCCATACAAACACATAGGGCAGATTTTTAGTCACTATATTCTTACATCGAACAAAGTATTATTTAAATTATTTCCCGCAAAATATTGATCATGGCATGTCTGATCACACTGATACCATGGTATCAGCGCTTATATAACCCTCCAATATGCAGGTCATTGTTGGCATGGCTGCTCATCACAGATTACTGTTTCTTTATAGGATAACGAATTATATTTCTTTTTGTGTGTAGCTACTTATACGTATTACATTGTTTCTGTAAATCCAGGGACTTTGTTTTGTTTTGTTCAGCATTTGTTTTTGTTTTGTTCTCTTTTTTTATATGAACAAAACAAACCTCGGATCGATAGCTGGAGTTCAACAGGCATGTATTTACTAAAAATAGATTCGTGCTTCTATTTTATCGCGATGCTTGAACTCTGTGACGTCGGTATGTCGTTTGAAGTCGGTGTCGAATGGATGTCTCCACACCGCAGATGAGAAGTGTGCACCACTGATCATAGCTGTTACCACGTGAACAGTATGTAGGGTGAATATTGGCCGGGAATGTTAGATAACCGTGTGGACGATATGATTTGTAGGTCACCGTGGGTCAACATTGGACGGTACAGTTATGCTAACTGTGTGGACGGTATGAGTTGTAGGTCGCTGTGGGTCAACGTTATGCTAACTGTGTGGACGGAATGAGTTGTAGGACGCTGTGGGTCAACATTGGACGGTACAGTTATTATAACTGTGTGGACGGTATGAGTTGTAGGTCGCTGTGGGGCAACATTGGACAGTAAAGTTATGCTTACTGTGTGGACGGTATGGGTTGTAGGTCGCTGTGGGTCAACATTGCACGGTACAGTTATGCTAACTGTGTGGCCGGTATGAGTTGTAGGTCGCTGTGGGTCAACATTTGACGGTACAGTTATGATAACTGTGTGGACGTTATGAGTTGTAGGTCGCTGTTGGTCAACCTTGGACGGTACAGTTATGATAATTGTGTGTGAATTGTAGGTCGCTGTGGGTCACCATTGGACGGTACAGTTATGCTTACTGTGTGGACGGTATGAGTTGTAGGTCGCTGGGGGTCACCCTTGGACTGTACAGTTATGCTTACTGTGTGGACGGTATGAGTCGTAGGTCGCTGTGGGTCAACATTGGACGGTAAAGTTATGCTAACTGTGTGGACGGTATGAGTTGTAGGTAGCTGTGGGTCAACATTGGACGGTACAGTTATGATAATTGTGTGTGAATTGTAGGTCGCTGTGGGTCACCATTGGACTGTAAAGTTATGCTTACTGTGTGGACGGGATGAGTTGTAGGTCGCTGTGGGTCAACATTGGGCGGTACAGTTATGCTTACTGTGTGGACGTTATGAGTTGTAGGTCGCTGTTGGTCAACATTGGACGGTACAGTTATGCCAACTGTGTGGACGGTATGAGTTGTAGGTAGCTGTGGGTCAACATTGGACGGTACAGTTATGCCAACTGTGTGGACGGTATGAGTTGTAGGTCGCTGTGGGTCAACATTGGACGGTAAAGTTATGCTTACTGTGTGGACGGGATGAGTTGTAGGTCGCTGTGGGTCAACATTGGGCGGTACAGTTATGCTTACTGTGTGGACGTTATGAGTTGTAGGTCGCTGTTGGTCAACATTGGACGGTACAGTTATGCCAACTGTGTGGACGGTATGAGTTGTAGGTCGCTGTGGGTCAACATTGGACAGTAAAGTTATGCTTACTGTGTGGACGGTATGAGTTGTAGGTCGCTGTGGGTCAACATTTGACGGTACAGTTATGCTAACTGTGTGGACGGTATGAGGTGTAGGTCGCTGTGGGTCACCATTGGACGGTACAGTTATGCTAACTGTGTGGACGGGATGAGTTGTAGGTAGCTGTGGGTCAACATTGGACGGTACAGTTATGCCAACTGTGTGGACGGTATGAGTTGTAGGTCGCTGTGGGTCAACATTGGACGGTACAGTTATGATAACTGTGTGGACGGTATGAGTTGTAGGTCGCTGTGGGTCACCATTGGACGGTACAGTTATGATAACTGTGTGGACGTTATGAGTTATAGGTCGCTGTTGGTCAACATTGGACGGTACAGTTATGCTAACTGTGTGGACGGTATGAGTTGTAGGTCGCTGTGGGTCAACATTGGACGGTACAGTTATTATAACCGTTTGGACGGTATGAGCTGTAGGTAGTTGTACGGGTCAACATTAGACGGTACAGTTATGATAACTTTGTGGACGGTATGAGTTGTAGGTGGTTGTAGGGCCAACATTGAACGATAGATGTGGACGATATGAGTTGTAGGTAGTTGTAGGGCCAACATTGAACGGTAGAGTTATTACAACTGTGTGGACGATATGAGTTGTAGGTAGTTGTAGGGTCAACATTGAACGGTAGAGTTATTATAACTGTGAGCACGATATGAGTTGTAGGTAGTTGTAGGGCCAACATTGAACGGTAGAGTTATTATAACTGTGTGGACGATATGAGTTGTAGGTAGTTGTAGGGTCAACATTGAACGGTAGAGTTATGATAACTGTTTTGATGGCATGAGTTGTAGGTAGTTGTAGGGTCAATATTGGACAGGAGTGTTAAGTTAACTGTTCTGACGGTGTATATATATGAGTGGAAGGTTGTTGTAGGGTCAATATTGACGGGAGTGTTAAGATAACTTTTTGGACGTAATGAATTGTAGGTAGTTGTAGAGTCAATATTGACGGGAGAATTAGGTAATTGTGTGGACAGTATGAGTTTTAGGCAGTTGCAGAATTACTTCAATTACTACCTTGAAAGTAGGTTGAGGTCGTTTTCATTCTCAAACTTTATCATGCTCTTTCCAAGCAAGCCACCAGCCAAAATATGAATAGTCTATACCCTCAGTTCTTCAGAAGAAGTCGTTAAAAGTGTTTGACATATTTGACCGCTGTCACCTTGAAAGTTGGTCAAGGTCATTTTCATTCTCAAACTTTGTCGGGCTCCATCCCAGGAATCCACCAGCCAAATATAAAGATTCTTTACCTTTCAGTTCTTCAGAAGAAGTCATTTGAAGAGTATGACACATTTGACCCCTATGACCTTGAAATTAGTTCGACGTCGTTTTAATTCTCAAACTTTGTCTGGCTCTATCCCAGGAATCCACCAGCCAAATATGAAAATTCAGGAGAATTCGTTTGAAGACTTTCACACATTTGACCGCTGTGACCTTGAAACTAGGTCAAAGTCATTATCGTTCTCAAGATTTGTCGGGCTCTATCCCAGGAAACGACCAGCTAAATATGAAGATTCTATACCTTTCAGTTCTTCAGAAGAAGTCGTTTGAAGAGTTTCAGATATTTGACCACTGTGACCTTGACATTAGACCAAGGTCATTTTCATTCTCAAACATTATGTGGAATTATCCAAGGAATTCACCAGCCAAACATGAAGATTTTATACCATTCAGTTCTTCAGAAGAAGTCGTTTGAAGAGTTTGACACATTTGACCACTGTGACCTTGACATTAGACCAAGGTCATTTTCATTCTCAAACTTTATCTGGCATTATCCAAGGAATTCACCAGCCAAACATGAAGATTCTATACCTTTCAGTTTTTCAGGAGGAGTCGTTTGATGTGTTTGACATATTCTACCTTGTGACCTTGAAAGTAGGTCAAGGTCATTTTCATTTTCAAACTTCGTCTGGCTCAATCTCAGGAAGCCCCCAGTCAAATATGAAGATTAAATACCTTTTAGTTTTTCAGAAGAAGTCGTTTGAAGAGTTTGACACATTTGACTCCTGTGACCTTGAAAGTAGGTCAAGGTCATTTTCATTTATAAACTTTGTCGGGCTTCTACCAATGAAGCTTTCAGCCAAATATTATGACTTTAGGCCTGCCCGTTCTTCAGAAAAAAAATGTTTAAAGGAAACGATGACGGACGACGACGACGGACGGTCGACGGAAGCTGCACCATGAAATACGCTCACTTGCCTTTCGGGCAGGTGAGCTCATAAATATATATGGCCTTGACTTTTGGCCAACTTCTATGAAAAATATAATGGTTTTGTAGAGCTAATGTCCTATAAAACAGTTAGTCATTTGACTAACGGAGGGAAAAGCAAAATTGAAGTATGCGTTTAGGTCCAGTAGCATAATCAGCGGAGGTGCCAAAGCGTCGTATCATTTGAACTTGATTTTGGGTTGATTTAATGGGGAAAAATTCAGCTGACAATACACTGGCAACCATTGACAGTTTATCAATGTAACAAACATC